AAAAATAATAATTAAAAACAATCTTATGACCCCAAACATCTGAACAGTTTTGAACACAAATGTGACCCTGGACCACAAAACCAGTTAATTTTAACCAGTTAATAACTGAAATTGAGATCTCAAAGCTGAATAAATAATCTTTCCATTGATGTATGGTTTGTTAGGATAGGACAATGTTTGGCCGAGATACAACTATTTGAAAATCTGGAATCTGAGGGTGCAAAAAAATCTAAATATTGAGAAAATCACCTTTAAAGTTGTCCAAATGAAGTCCTTAGCAATGCATATTGCTAATCAAAAATGAAGTTTTGATATATTTACAGTGGGAAATTTACAAAATATCTTCATGGAACATGATCTTTACTTAATATCCTAATGATTTTTTTGCATAAAAGAAAAATCAATAATTTTGACCCATACAATGTATTTTTGGCTATTGCTACAAATATACCCCAGCGACTTAAGACTGGTTTTGTGGTCCAGGGTCACAAATATATATTAATAAACAGATGCATTTATGTATAAATGTATGTATAGACATTATAATATATACATTATAATAATCGTAGCGATCACATCAGATATCACAACAATTATATCAATAATACTGAGGGAGCCACGCCTCAACACAATAATAATAAAACATAAAATATGTGTCAGTATTATATATATTTTGGTTATATTTGTGTGTTTTGCTTTGTTCAGGAGTCTCGGCTCTTGTTCCCAGCTTGTGATTCTGCTCCCTGGATGAGGCCTTCTCAGCTGGATTACTTGTCACTTGACTTTAATTCTGCCTCCCCCTCACCTGTTCAGAAGGTCAGTGGTAGCATGAACTGTTTAAGAACCAAATTTCTTACATGCATCTGTCAAACATTTGGTGAGTGTTTGTGGGGTTTTAGTGGGTACTGCTATCTCTTGTAGTAATCGTTTCTGTGGCTTTATACAATGAATCCTCAGGCAGTGATAACAGTGACTCAGCATTTCCTGTCCCAGTTACTGTTGCTTTGTAACCCCTCAGCTCTAAATCTGCCTGCTGGATTGATGCATTGTGGCCATGTGGATTAGTGTTTTGATTGTTTGTTGGTATTGTGTTTTTGATGTTTTAAGAAACCGCTGCTGGCAGACGAGTACAGGGTGGATTACGTGCAGGTAGACGAGAAGAAGACACAGGCTTTACAAAACACCAAGTTGGAGTGGAAGGATGTCCGTCAGTCAAAAGCCTAAGCCTTCTGGGGGGGGGGGAATCATCCATTTAAATTATTACATGGTTCAAAACTTGACTTGTTTTCATCTCCTACAATTTCAGGTACATGTTGGTTTTTTACACTGCTATAAAAGGAGCCAGTACAGAGCTGGAAAGGAAACCTTCAGAAATAAAATGGCAGATAATTCAGGAAATTATTCCAGAATAAAAGACCTCCAACACAATGATTAAAAGGAGCCAGTACAGAGCTGGAAAAGAAACCTTCAGAAATAAAATGGCAGATAATTCAGGAAATTATTCCAGAATAAAAGACCTCCAACACAATGATTAAAAGGAGCCAGTACAGAGCTGGAAAAGAAACCTTCAGAAATAAAATGGCAGATAATTCAGGAAATTATTCCAGAATAAAAGACCTCCAACACAATGATTCAAGAATAAAGCTTTGTTTTGTAGTTCTTTTCCCGGGAAGAGAATTAGCATTTCCTATTAATTTTTAGAGTAGTGTGTTTTTTTGGCTTATGAGTAAAGTAAAATATGCAGTTGATGTTAAAGTGCCCCTATTATGAGTTATGAAAGGTTCATATTTTGGTTTTGGGAGTCCCCTACAACTGGTTGACATGCATGGAAGGTCAAAAAACACTTTCATTGTCTTATAATATGCATTTATTTTTTACCTTACTTGGTAAAAAATCGAATCGACTCCCAAACGATTCGTTTAAGGATTCATTTTTCCAAACCCCTCCTTTGCATGACGCTAATCGGCGGTGATTGGTCCGATTGGTCTCATTTTCATTTCATCATGCCTGTAATGCCTGATAAAGCAGCGTTTGTGAGCGCAGTGCTGCTTTGTTTACAGTGTTACCGGGGAAACAGCTATTTTACCGCTCCAACAGTGGCACCTAGTGGCAAAGAATAAATTTGCATTTTCATTCAAACCAACGCAAAAAGACCAACAAGTGGGCGGGCAATATGCTAATGTTTCATTTTGACGTCAACATGAAATGGCTTGGGATTCGTTTTAAAAACTACTCGTTTCAATGATTCAGAGTCGACTCTTTCTTTTGAGAGACAATAACTTTATACACGGTGCACTTTCAGATTTAAAACTTGGCAGGATGTTTTCATTCATGTAGAGCTGTTACACACTGCATGAAAGGTCATTTTCAAACATCCATAATAGGGGCATTTTAATTTGATCTACAACATAAATTATACACAGTCATACCTCAAATATGAATGGTGATTTTTAAAACGTTGTTAACAAATTGATAATAAGTACTAAAAAAGTGCAAAACTATGATAAAAACTCATACTGTGTATGATAAAGGTTCTAGTCCTAATTTGTTAGCTACATAAACTATTTTTCAAAAATTTGGGTTTGGTAAGATTTTTCATCAAGCCTGCATTTGATCAAACATACAGAGCAAAAAAAAAATTTTTAGAAAATATTATTACAATTTAAAGTAACTGTTTTTTGTTTGAATATATTTGGAAATGTGTGACATAGTCAGGATTTTCAGGATTCTTTGATGATGATTTAAAAACAGCCTATCTTTTGTAACATTATAAATGTATGGAATTCTCTTCAAATAACGTTATCCACCGACCTTAATTTACTACTACTAAAATTTGTTCTAAAACTGAATGGGTAACGAAATCCAAACAATGCTAACAGCATGAATCTCATGTAAAAACATTTGTCACCAAAGCTTGAACGTGTACAGAATAGGAAATTGTTTACCAGAGCACACATTTTTATAACAGAAATTATTTATAAAATTAACATTAATTCTTAATCATTTGTTTAACTTGGAAAAGTACAGAGTGACTTTTTTTGTTGCACTCCCTGGGATGTTATTTTGCAATAATTCCCTGATTATAACCGCACACTGTTTTACATCGCTGATGTTTGAGACTCAGATGTCCCATTGCCTACTTGTGAATTCTGAAATAATGTTTTCAAAGGTGTCACAAAGTCATGAATGTTACATATTTATGACGTGTACAATCGCTGAAGAGTGTCACAAAAAACAATTACACCAATGAATGTGTTTCTTGCACACCTTCGAGATCATGTTTATACTACAATTTGTTTGATGAGAGTCAGACCACTGGAAACCACTGGAACCACACACTGTGCTTGGATGCTAGAACAAAGCTATGAAGGAATTGAATGTTTTGTTGAAGGGAAATCTGACTGCTTTTTTAGGATTGAATCCTGAGTGAATATTGAATGTTGAATATGTTAAGACTACTGTCAAATTATTGACCTAACAGGGTTATGAAGGTCTGTCAATATTTATCGGAATGTATTCTCCCATCGACCTTTCACGATTATAAGGCATTACGAATGTATTTCTGTATTGGGGTGTAGATTTTTACTGCCATGTCATGCTGTGCTTATGACACTGTTCTTTTATGGTGGTCAGATTTTGCTGTACTGACAAGAGCACAAAAATCTCATGGGAAACTTGCACTGTGACATCAACAGTTTCCTGCCAATCTTGATATTCTTCAGTGTATGCTTTATGTTTCACGAAGAAATGTAATACATGAGTGAGAGAGAAAGAACGAGTGATTGAAAGAGAGAGAGAGAGAGAGTGTCTGCGTGTTTTGCTGAAATTCAGAGACCTTACTAACCTGTGTGAATCAATGGATGTTTATCCGTCAGCAGGTAACTTATTGTGATGCATATTGAACACATTAAATCACTTTAAAACAATTCAGCTCAATAAACTGAAAACAAAAAACCCTCAAAGACACTTCTTTAATCTGTTCTTTTTAAATATTAAATTTGCACCTACACAATTGTTTTGTTTTGAAAGAAGTTTTGTGAAAAACAGCAATATTGTCAAATATTATAATTAAAAGCATATGTTCTATTTAGATATATTTAAAAATGTAATCTATTCCTGTAATGTTAAAGCTGATTTTTCAGCATCCATTACTCCACTCTTCAGTGTCACATGATCCTTCAGAAATCATTCTAATGTGCTGATATGGTGCTCAAGAAACACATTATTATTATTATTCATTATTATCAATGTTGAAAATAGATTTTAAATATTTTTGTGGATTTTGTTTTATAGAAATGTCTTGTAAATGTCTTTACTGTCATTTTTGATAATTTTTTCAGTCTTTTAAATGGTAGAGTACATCTGTTATGTTATATTTGAATTCATCTTTGGGAATTCAATAAGCTATTTACCCATTTATGATGTAGTTCATTTGAATTACCTTCTAAAAAGTTCCAAATGAAACCAACATCACTGTGTTTAGCAAACAGATGATAAAATGAATAAGACCAGAGGAAACATACTAATTTCAACTCTGTTTTCTCCATAATGAAGTTTATTATGAAATAATGATATAATGTTATTTCAATCAGATCACCGAATCAAAAAATATTAAACTGATATTTTCCTTTGTAACATAATAATAGTCTCATGTGGCACTTAATACACATGTGTGACATATTTCTTCCATACTGTCCTCTTCCATTTTTTAATGCCCTACAAGGGTCTTTAACACTCCAGCAGAAGCTCTAAAATATAGAAAGAGGCTCAAGATGGAAAAAGAAAATCACACTATAATAGAATAAATAATGTTTTATAGCAATACTTCAAATATTGTGATTGGACTAAATACTATCCTTTGAAAGTTATCAGACAAAACGCGAATATACCATAAATTAAATTTTGCACAAGTCCCTTTAATTTGGGAAAAAAATAAATATAAATATATATATACTGTATATATAGAGAGAGAGAACCAAAAACAATCCCAAAAAAAAAGAAAAAATGAACAACTGAAACGCTATGTCATGCTAATCCTAGCAGCGATAACCAAATTTCACTGACTTAATTTTCGCCTGAGAAGTCACATGGCGGGGTACCAGCTCATGGGGTTGGCATTCGCACATGCCAATGCACCTGTTAGAGGAAAATTTGGCAACCAGACTATTTTGGCATGTTAGAGATGAATTGGCACGTCATTACGAGGTTGATCAGCAGGATTAAAGTCGTCCTGGTCCAGGTATCATTCCCCATAAAATCAAGACAGGGCTCAGAGGTGACATTATTACATTTTTTTTTAGGTTTTCTGGTCTTCTCTCGGATTGCACTTATGACGGGAGAGAGAAACAATGGTGAAGCCGAGACCGAGACCTCAGGATAAACAAGGCTCTGACGTAAACACGCTACAGAGGTCCACTGTTCAGAGCAAAACAGTTCCTCCTTTAGGTTTCTCTGGTCAGTGTTTTTATCGGGGTGCCTAAAAGCTCCAGCAAACCGAAATGACTTTTAGCTTGACTGACTGGAGGTCTCTATGAATGTCAAAGTTGTTCCGATATCCGTATTTCCAGTATACCGTGATCAGTGTAAGCAACCAGTGTGACAAATTTGCAGATCGTGATCCACTGTTCTTTGAGACCCGTAGGAATAGAGTTACACAAATAAAAATACCTGCAATGAACTGAATCACATGCAAAACAAACTAAAGAGTGCAGCAGGTTCCATTCAAGGAGAGATTGTCCAGGAAAACAAAAAATCTTCTGCTTTGACCAGACTTGAAACTGTTGGGAAAACACGTGATAATGTGGAGTATGAGATTGAGAGAGAAAAAGAGAGATTGGGTGAGAGAGAATGCCCCGAATAGTCACAGTGCACGGAGGAACACCAGGGCGGCGCTAGAGAGCAAGAGTCATTACGTTGGTTTAGTGCTTAGAGAATAAGAAACTGTGTTTCATAATTTAAAACCTCTCTACATAGAGAGTGCTGAGGGATAAAATGTATGTTTTGTGTGTGCGTTTGCATGATTTTTTTTCTTCTGTGAATTACAACATGTTGTGTATAGTATTCAGTGCAGCCAGCTCAGCGAGGTGTCCCCGTAACCCCAGTAAAAGAAATACACCTGGTAAACCCCAGTAAAGCGAGGTCCGTCCTCTCTCCTGTAGTTTGTGTGTGTGTGTCGGTCCTCCTCAAGTCCCGCTGATGTATCTTAAGTAGAATAGTGCTTTTCCAAGTATACAGAGGCTGGTGTATCCGACCCCTGGTGGATGTGTGTTCTATTTTTTAAAGGGAGCTAACCGACTGAAGTTCTGCCAGAAGGGAGATGTGCTGCGTTTGGGCTCGTATTCGTATCCGTCCGCCTGCCCGTATCCGTCGGGGAGAAGGTACTGCCCGGGGTTCATGGGGTCCAGTGGAGGTGGGTACGCTGGGGGGCCTGACCGGCCCACACCTGAGAAGACGAACGCAAGGGAATACGCAAAGATTAATGCATAAACGCAACGGTTTTCTACACTGTAAAAAATGACAGTGAATTTAATGGTAAAAGACTGTAAAAATGCTACAGTAAAAACCTGTTAAATGGTTAACGGTAAATTCCCCTACTATATACGGTGAAAAACTGTATTGGACATTACATGTAATTTTACAGTAGTATACCGTTTTTGGAAGTGAAAAAGACCATATAATTTACAGTGAATAACCGTAAATTGACATTCACAGAATTCCCTGCGTTACATTTCCAATTTGATGGTTTTTTGTTGAAATAACTGTTTCTTCTTAGTTTTTTCTTATCAGTTTTGTATATTAGGGTTGTGTGTTACACCTACTACTTTTTACAGTGTATGTTTAACATCACTTATTACTGCAGCATCACTTATTAGTGATGCACTTATTTTTATTTACTGCCAGACAAAACCACCATTTACTGCAATTCCAATTTGTATCAATTGACTTATATTTTCTTAGCAGGCACTTTTTCACCATGGTAACAGCAATACAATAGAACAGTTTAATTTATTGGCCATTAGCATGGAAATTATGTTACGCAAAAATATCTTTCTGCCTAAAGCAGTGAGACACAACAACTTCTAAGAACATCTAAATTGTGACTTTGCCACATTCTTCATTAATAAAATTACAAACCTCAGTGCCCAATTTGCCACACCACAAACTGTCAAACACATCTTACCAGCAAACATAAACTCGTTTTCATCCTTCTCTCCACTCTCTGAGGCAGAAGTCACTAAACTCATCCTTTCCAATCATCCTACTACTTGTCCACTTGATCCTATTCCATCTCATTGAGTGAGCAAAAATTTGTGAGATAGCTAGTTATAATGGTAATTAAATAATGTTTACATATGTATAAAAGCCTACATTAAAATCTGTCATATAAATTGGTCTCTTCATTAGAAATTAGCCTACTGATTGCCACCATTGATGGACACAATTTTTTAATAATATTAAAAATATCCGTATGACATTATATTCTGCAGTTCTTCCCTGTTGTACCGAATATCTATACTTTTCAAATTATCATATCGAAGTTAGAAATTCAAATATTGTGACAAAATTGGGTTGGGAAACACTGATTTAGAAGCTTGCGTTCTGCAAGTGAACGGCGTATTATTGTGCCATCTCAAAGAGGCACAAAATCACTTTCATGGACTTTTTCATTAACTGTTCCCTCCTGGTGGAATGACCTGCCCAAATCAATCCGAGCAGCTGAGTCCTTAACCATCTTCAAGAAACGACTAAAAACACATCTATTTCACCTTTATTTGACCCTCAAACTCTAGCATTTTCTATTCTATTTTAATTCTACTTTATCTACATTTATCTTCTTTTTTTTTATTTAAAAAAAAAAACATTATTAATATTTTTCTATTCTATTTTTCTATTTTCTATTTATCTACTTGTTTTTCTTTGTGTGTGTGTGTATGTGTGTGTGTGTGTTTATGTGTGTGTATAATATATATACAGTATATATATACACCTTGCTACGTGTACTGCGTTAGGCTAACCGAGACTTGTCATTTGCACTTATATATTGTTGCTCTTTTGTTAGTTTTGACTGCTTTTATTGTCCTCATTTGTAAGTCGCTTTGGATAAAAGCGTCTGCTAAATGACTAAATGTAAATGTAAATTCCATGAGAAACATACACACAGCCCTACTTTAAGAACAGGCTTCAAGATTTCATACCTTTCTGTTTGGTGGCTCTCTTAACGGTCAAGGCAGCTTGTCTCTTCTGATAGTCAGAGATTTCAAAGCCTAAAGGGACAAAAAAAAAACATATTCAGTGTGAAAGTTTGATAGCTTTGTGTGAAGAACAGAACAAAGTTTAAATCACTGTGAAGTCTGAGTGGTGACAATGAACTTGTATGGTCAATGTCTTGAAAAAACTGGCCTAAATAAACACTTCTTTTGTGCTCAGTGTAAATAAAATCACAGCATAGAAATTTGAAACGACTTGAGAAATAATGTCTAAACTCACCAAGCTTCTCATCTTCCTGAATCATCTTTCTTTCCTCTTGAAACGCCCGAAGCCAACGGATTTTCTCCTCCAGCTTTTTGGGCAGGAACAGATGGATCTCGTCTGTGTCTCTGTTGGCCAGTTTGAAGGCGTTCTTCACGCTAACGTTAAAATCATCATCTCTGCCATCGATTGCATCAATGACCTCGTATGGATCCATGTCAATCCGACCCTTATAGTAGAGAATATCACGGCGAATGAGATCCTGTGGAAGGCGGAGAGACTTTATGGGTATGTCTGTAATCCAGACAGATTACTGATAGAATGAAACTGGATTGATTGATTATTCTGTTCCAGCATGAAACATCCAATACATCATTCTCGTCCTCCACCTCCTTTCCTCTCCACACACATCAAGGTATTTGCTACACCAGGAGGTTGTATTCCGTGTGACAGCAACTCTGACTGGCCGTGATCAAAAGATATAATACACAATATTTTCTAATTTTATATTCTATATACTGTATATATTGTTCAAAGGTTTGGGGCCAGAAAGATTTTTCTAAAGAAAGAAATTAATACAATTGGTCAGCAAAGATGCATTAAGTTGATCGAAAGTGATGGTAAAGACATTTATAATTACAATTACAAAAGACTTTTATTTCAAATAAATGCTGTTCTTTTGAACTTTCTATTCATCAAAGAAAAAGTGTATCATGGTTTCCACAAATATATTACACAGCACAGCTGTTAGCAGCATTGACAATAATACTTATTTATTATTGAGCACCAAATCAGCATATCTGAATGATGTGACACTGAAGACTGGAGTAATGGCTTCTGAAAATTCAACTTTGCCATCACATGAATAAATTAAATTTAAAAATATATTACAATCGAAAAAAGTATTTTTTTTAATTGTAATAACATTTCACAATGTTACAGTATTTCTGATCAAATAAATGCAACCTTAAGCATAAGAGACTTCTTTAAAAAAACATTTAAAAAATCTTACTGGCCCTACATTTTTGATTGTTGTGTATAATAAAAAATATTTTCCATCCAATCAAAATACTGAGAAAATCGCATTTAAAGTTGTCCAAATGAAGTTCTTAGCAATGCATATTACTAATCAAAAATTAGAGGGATAGTTCACCCAAAAATGACAATTCTGTCGTTAACTACTCACCCTCATGTCGTTCCAAACCCATAAGACCTCTGTTCATCTTCGGAACACAAATGAAGATATTTTTGATGCATTCTGAGAGCTCTGAACGTAAACAGCGTATGCTGTTGTGTGTCAGCCGCACCACGCGGATACATTTTCTTTTTATTTACGTTTTGATTTGAACGAAAACGAAAATCCGTGTGGTGCGGCTGACACACAACAGCATACGCTGTTTACGTTCAGTGGATACTCTCCAAAATGGTGCTTGGGTGACGCAGAGGAGACGAATTGTTGAATAAAGTCGTTATTTTTCTTTGCGTACAAAAAGTATTCTCGTAGCTTCGTAAAATTACGGTTGAACCCCTGGTGTCACATGGATTATTTTACCGATCTCCTTGCTACGTTTCTGCACCTTGATCGTGGTAATTACATTGCTGTCTATGGGAGGGTCAGAGAGCTCTCAGAATGCATAAAAAATATCTTAATTTGTGATCCGAAGATGAACGAAGGTCTTACAGGTTTGGAACGACATGAGGGAGAGTAATTAATGACAGAATTTTCATTTTTGGGTGAACTATCCCTTTAAGTTTTGATATATTTACGATAGGAAATTTACGAAATATCTCAATGGAACATGATCTTTACTTAATATTCTAATTATTTTTTTCATAAAAGAAAAATCGATAATTTTGACCCATACAATGTATTTTTGGCTATTGCTACAAATATACCCATGCGACTTATGACTGGTTTTGCGGTCCAGAGTCACATATGTCTTGTGAGAAACAAGTTCTGATTGTCTCTGTTTTTGTGTTGCTGAAGTGTCTGTGTATGTCAGATGGGGCTGAAGAAATCTGTTTTTGCACCTTTGTGGAAAGACTAAAAATGGGCCACGTGCGTAAAGCTTAAGGGTGTTTGGAGGACAGTTAAAACACAAAAAAGCTTCTACCTCCAGATGGAATCCAAATCACAAACTCTCAGTTGTGCTACACTACCAGAATTTAATCAGTTATTTGCTTCTGTGTGCCTGTCTGGTTCGGTTCTGCATCTTTGCTCTCAAAGTGAAAGCAAATGTGCAAAGATCAATCCCTACTCCTCAAAAATGAAAAACAGTCTATCTATCTATCTATCTATCTGTCTTTCTGTCTGTCTGTCTAGTGTTCTATCTATCTATCTATATGTCTATCTATGTCTATCTATCTGTCTATCTATCTATCTGTCTATTTGTCTGTCTGCCGTATCATCTATCTATCTATTTATCTATCTATCTATCTATCTATCTATCTATCTATCTATCTGTCTTTCTGTCTGTCTGTCTGTCTGTCTGTCAGCATCCCTTCATTTTTCACTTGTTCTCTACACTTTATTTCCAGCGGAATCTTACTTTATCAAAAAATGAGTTTACAGTGGTATTATTGCCTTCATCCCCTTTCTTTCCTCACCTTCTTGCAGAGGACCATCTGATGATCGAATAGGAAGAAGATTCTGGTTTGGCTGCGCCCGTATGGTTGATATATCCAGGACATCTCCCCAGTGTACACAAGCTCTGAGCTCCTGTTCAGAATATCCTCGCCCTGCACACACGATAACAAATTAATCAATACATCTGACACCACTGAGGCTCTGATGCGTTCAGGTCTTAGTATGCAGCTCTCAAATCAAATGGAGTCTGTGGCGCAGGTTGCATGTAAATAACATGCATCACTGATTGGAACTTGTATAGAAAAATTCTCCTTTTGTAAAAGGAAATAACATCAGAGTGAGTGTATATTAAATACACTAATGGGTTAGAATAAGTTAGTATTTTTTTATGTTTCTGAAAGTCTCTTATGCTAACCAAGGCAGCATTCGTCTGATCTAAAATACAGTAAAACAGTAATATTATGTAATTATTATTACAATTTCTCTAAATATTTTGATATGTAATTTTTGTCATTTTCAGAGTCAATTATTCTTAGGTCATTAGAAATCATTCTAATATGCTGATTTGGTGCTCAATTAACATATTATTATCAATGTTGAATGTTTTTGCTGCGTAATATGTTTGTGGAAACCTGTGATACTAACATTTAACAATGTAGGGTAAGTATGATTTTTTTTAAATAATAATAATAATGAATACTTTTATTAGCAAGGATGGATTAAATTGCTCAAAAGTGACAGTATTTTTTTTTTAAATGCTGTTCTTTTCAACTTTCTATTCATCAAAGAATCAGAGAAAGAATCCTTTCCACAAAAATATCAAGCACCCAACACTGCTTCCAAAATTGAAAATAATAAGAAGCATTATTAATACCTGAGCAACGATAATAATTGATAATAATTGAGGATAAAATCAGCATATTGGCATAAGAGACTTCTTTCAAAAACATATACACACAGTTGTGCTACTTATTTAATCATTTACTATTATTATTTATTGATTTTTTTCCTGTTTAGCTATTCCATTGCTCTCGTTTATATCCTACTAATTATTTTGTCTGAAAAGCTTTAGCCACACACCTCCCAATCCAGTACAGAGGCCTGCCATTGGGCAATTTTGTCAATGTTCTCAAGCCTTCGTTTGCGTTCGTTGATTTGCTGAGTGACATTTCTCATTACAGCTAGCGTCGCAGCTACGTACCGATAATCACTGGGGAAGAAAGAGAAAATAATGAGCGAAACGGAAGAGTGAAAGTGAGGGATGTCAAAATGATAAGTGGAAACCAGATATGTCAGTTCAAAATGTGTCGTTTACACAGTCATATATTTTGTGGACCTGAGCGACATTGTCTGCACGATGCACCTGGAGTTAGCGCATCCGTGTGTACCTGTGTTCTTGTACTGTGTATTTCAGTAACTCTGCCAGCTGTAGAGGGTATTTGCAGATTTTCTGGACTGGTGTGAGCAGGTAGCCATCAATGGCGATGTCGATCATCTGCTGAACCAATCGGCAAGCTTCGAAGAAGTGCTGGTATCGTGCGTCTCGCATGAGACGTGTGAGCTCCATGCAGGAGTCAACGTGGTTGTTACAGTATTCCGAGTAGATCCAGAATCCATCTTGCTGTAAAAATAAAAAACATAAAAAATCAGTATCCTCGACTCATTGTGTATATATGTGTGATTTTCTGTGTTTCAATACACACGTGTTCCAAAAAGCAAGGTCCGATCTCGCTGAGGTGAGGTTCTTCCGTGTTAAACTGTTTCTCCAGGTCTCTGACAAAGCTCAACTGGAATCTGTAAATGTCTTCGATATTTCCAAAGATCACTTTCAGCTGATCGTCGTTAAACATGTCTCTCCTCTTTTTACACTGACGGAGATACCCCTAAAAGGCATAACACATACACAAATTTACACTACCATTCAAAAGTTTGGGTTTTTTGGATTTTTATAATGTTTTTGAAATAAGTTTCCTATATGCTCACTTAGGCTGCATTTATGAACTGTTTTTATTTAAATGCATTTAACATGTAATTTATTCCTGATGGCAAAGCTGAATTTTTAGCATCATTACTCCAGTTTTCAGTGTCACATGATCTTCAGAAATCATTCTAATAGACTGATTTGATGCTCAAGAAACATTTCTATTTTTTTTAAGGATTCTTTGATAAATAGAAAGTTCAAAAGAATATAGATTCTTTTGGATTATAGATTCTTTTAGATTATAGATCTATAGATTAAAGCAATAAGCCGCAAGAAGCCGTGGTTTACAGTGAATTTATAACAGCTAAGGGGCATTGTTAGGCACGACACGAAGCTGAGTTTTATGAAGCTTTTTTATGAAGCGGAATAACCGTTTATAAAATAAACGTAGTAAGGTTTCACAGAATAAAACAGAGCAAATAAAGTGTAATGATATAAATAAAATCAGTATTCTTCCACCAAACAATGTAGTTCCTCAGAAACAGTTGTGGTTCCAACAAAGTGGTTGCCGAGCAACACACAGAAGTAAACAAAGGTGTATGTTTGTTGTGTAATTTACAACAGCTTCGAACGCGACGCGGCTCAATCAGAATCAAGGACCGGAACTGTCCGTTTTATTAAATAGATTAGAATACAGATTTTTTTGTAACAATTTAAATGTCTTTACAGTCACCTTTGATCAATTAATGCATCCTTATTGAATAAACGTATTCAATTCTTTCAAAAACATATTTACTGACACCAAATATTTGAATGGTAGTGTAAGTTTTAAAGGGGTCATATGATGCTTTTTTAAAGATCATTATTTTGTGTATTTGGTGTAACAGAATAGGTTGACATGCTTTAATGTTCAAAAAACACATTATTTTTCAAATACTGTACATTATTGTAGGTCCTCTATGCCCCACCTCTCTCAAACACGTCGTTTTCTACAAAGTCCCCCCTTCCGACAAGCCAGTCTGCTCTGATTGGCCAGCTGACCCAGTGCATTGTGATTGGCCGAACACCGCAAGCACTCGTCGGAAATGTAACGCCCCTTACCATAATCGTGAGCTTCATCTTTCAAAATAAATGTAAAGACAGAGCCCGAAAGGGGAACAGAGTCGC